TTGCTGAAATGCTGACGGGACGTTTCTACATGGTCGGCGGTCTGGAAAATCGCTGCCCGATCGCAGCATTCCTTTTCCAATCATGGCCCCCAGCAGAGTATGGGGGGGGGCATGTTCTCTGATGGCATCGGAGGGCCAGACGGCATGGTCCACGCAGCGGTGGAGGGGACCATTTTTTGGACCTGCATTGCTGCTGCAGACAGCCACAACGGAAGGCCATGGACCGGTGCCCCTACCAAACTTTCCCATTTCGGACCTGGTCTTTCAAGTTTTCCCTATTCGGGCAAGTGCGGCCGTTTCCAATGCCAAAGTTTTGCGGCCGCGGTGGGGTGCCAACAAAATCTGCCAAACACATTCCAACGACGGTGGGCCGTTTTTAATGGCCTCGCGGGTTTTCCAGCCGCCGTCCAGTGGGGTCCACCTCTAAGGCTTGGACCCCACTGGCCGGCGGCGGCTGGAAAAGTTTTGGCGTGGAGGGCCGATTTCAGACCCCATCAGGCAAGTTTTGGGGTGGAAGGCCGATTTCAGACCCCATCAGGCCGCCAGGAAGTGTTTTTGAGGTATGTGAACGTCGGTTTCAGACCCCACTGCCGTCCTGGAAACAATGCTGGCCCTGTTTCTACATGGCCGGGGGCTGGAAAAGTCTCTGCCAGAAACAGGCAGTCCTTTTCCCAAGTGCCCTCCAGCAGGCTAGGGAGGGCAAAGTGCCAAAAACTTTCCAACGCGGCCGGCAAGGTGTGGTGCAGTCCACGGTCCGGCACAGATTTGAGGCTGGACCGGGATGAAAAGCTGCGGTCGAAGTTCATGTTGCCGTACAGGCTGGACATGGGCTGCACCATGTCCGCTGGTCCATACAGCCCATCCATACTTTCCTTTTTGGGAGGGGGGCCGTCTCCGGTCTCCTAATGCGGTAAAAAGCCTGACCGTTTCCAAAACCCCGCCAGCAGTCGCCGGTGGGGTCGTGTCGAAACGTGCCAAAGACTTTCCACCGCCGGTCGCCAGCATTTTGTGGCCAAGTATTTTTGCCAGGCGCTGCCAGTGGGGTCCAAGTCTCGATGTCCAGGCAGTTTTCGGAGTTCTCATGGTCGTTCTTTTTTTTTTTTTTTTTTTTTTTTTACTAATCTTTTTGGTGTTTTGAAGTGTGTCATGGGGGTATACAGGTGCTTGGTCCATTTACAGCCGCAGGAGGCTGGCAGAGGGATAGTTGGCGGAGGGACAGCTTTAGGAATTTGGAGCATTGTCTCCCCACCGAATTAGGTGGAATAAATTGTAATTAGCTTCTCCGGGTTTAGGGGAGGTGTTTCTCTCTCTGCTTCGCGTTTTTTTTTTTTTTTTTTTTTTTCCTTTTAATTTAAAGGGCGGCGACCTTTAGATATCATCATTGGACTGACCGCCCCCAGTCTATTCAGAATGATTTTATCCTCTCCATCTGACGGTATCTGGATTTGAACGCTTGTCTGTATTTCAACAGTTCAGTTGAGGGGTGTACCAACTGAGCTAGGCCAGTTGGTGCTAGCTTCTTTTCTTTTTTTTTTGTTTGTTTTTTTTTTTTTTTTTTTTTTTTTTTTTTTTTTTTTTTTTTTTTTTTTTTTTTTTTTTTTTTTTTTTTTTTTTTTTTTTTTTTTTCCCGCAGGGGCCATGCTAATCTTCATTCGTTCCAATTTAAGCGGATGTCCCGAAGGACGGTGCTGGCTTCGTTTTTTTTTCTTTTTCATTTTTTAAACAAAATTTATCATGCTTGCGGAGGTGGACCCCACTGCCTGGCGGAAGCTTTCCAGGCGGAAAAAGCTTCCGCCGCACCCAAATCATAGCCCCCAGAGATGGGAAAGAGAAAGCGGGCCCCACTGCAGCACAACTTTTTGCCAGTTCCGGCCGGTTAGGGAAAACTTTCCCTATATGCCAACTTCACATCCGCTTGTCTCGGTTCTCACCCAATCCCTGGCTCTCCTTTCCACATGGGATGGCCGAACCGAGGGAGCTGCCCCCCCCCCTCCTTCTCCTATCCCCTCAGAATGGCCGAACCTCTAGGAACGGGCAAAACCAAAACCGAGTGAAAACGTCTACCACGTCATATTGGACCGTTTTCCGAAGCTTCGCCGCAAAGCAGTGGGGTAATCCAGCGGCCTAACTCAGTTGGTAAGGCTTGCAAGTGGCATTCAGGAGGTCGTGGGTTCAATCCCCATTGGCCTCATGTACTTTCCTGGGCATGCTTGGCGCCCACCACCTAGAGATAGACCACTGGATCCCTTGATTGGCATTTAGCAGAGTCTGCTCCTGATGTTCATAGGGGAGGGGACCTGAGGGGAGGCACAGGGATTGGTCCTGTTGGCATGGTCCCTGATGCTACCGGCTGTCCCCTAGCTGGTATCGCCCACCTGCAGGTCGGGAGCAGCGTCGGGAGCAGCTTCGAGCAGCTTCGCATGTTCTCTCATGAACACGGTTCTGGCTGCTACGGGGTTCCCCGTATGCCTACAATTAGGAGTAGTGATAGGAAGGTAGTGTGAAGTGAAATTGAGAGAAGAATATAGCTTTTTTTAGAAAAAAAAAAAAAAAAAAAAAAAGTCTACCACGTCATATCTGACCGTTTTCCGAAGCTGCGCCGCAAAGCAGTGGGGTTTCGCAACTCGTCTTCCAAAGATTTGCCGCAAAGCAGTGGGGTGTGCTGGGGTCCACCTCTAACCTTCCTTCTCTGTATCGTTCCAATTTTAGCCGATGTCCGGAAGGACGGTGCTAGCTTCGTTTTCGTTGGTTCAATTTGTAACTCAGCAACCGGTAGGACCGTTGTAGTGGTAGTTTTCTGTCGTTAGTTGGTGTTTTTGCGGCCATGAGGGTTTATTTCTTTAGGGCTATCGTTTTGGTTTGTTTGGGTTTTTTGAGGTCTGCGGGCTTTTTTTGGCCCAGGGTTGGGAAGTGTCAGGGCAGCTGTCTTGATTTGGGCATTTTGCTCCCCTCCCAACGCCTGCACCGAAGCTGGGTAATGGTCCCCGAAGGGTATTTTTTTCTGTTTGTTTATGGGGTTGCTTGTGGAGGAATTGGCGGGCTCCCCCCTTTGTTGGTGTGGTAATAAAATGAGCTGAGTTTCCCTGTAGTAAAATAAAATAAAATAAAATAAATGCGTGTCATGGGAGTGAATTTGAGATGCTGTTTGGATCGTGGGCTCGTTGCACTAATCTCTTCTCCTCTCCCTTCTCCGTTCAACGTGATTATCTTTCCTCCATCCATCCCAATCCAAGGTCATCACAAGGCCAGTCTTTTTACCCGAATAGCTGCATTTGGGACAACTTTCAGTCTAGATACATGACCGGGAGTTCTTATTTCAACCGGTAGAGCCAATCTTAAATCTTATTGGATTTAGGGTTAGGGTAGCTCCAACATATCCTACCACCCTCACTTTCACTCCTTAACGCTCTTCAGAGTTTAATCCGACTTTATTTATTTATTTATTTATTTAATTTGTTTTATTATCTGTTTTAAAATTTTAAAATTTATTTATTTATTTTATTTATTGATTTGATGTCATTATTTATTTATGAGAGAATCTCGAAACAAATTGACGTCATACAAAATCGTTGTGCTGGACCTGCTGCCAGAGGATGGAATGAAAAGGAGGCCTCTGTTTTCACTCCTTGATACCGACCCAAACACACACAGGTGAAAGCACCTGCATGTAGCACATTTCAGGAGCCAGAAGCAGGCGCCTCATCATGAATGCATGTAGCACATTTCAGGAGCCAGATGCAGGTGCCTGATTATGAATGGCTGCCTGTTCGCAAAAGGCACAGGCAGTAGTGTGTATTTTTTCCTTACAGTTGATATAATAAAATAAAGCAGAGGACCTTATTGCTGTACAGGGAGATTGTCCGCAATATCCTTTTTTTTTTTTTTTTTTTTTGAAAAAAAAACACAGCATACATTGCATACAAAATTGGCGAGGCCGGGGTCCTCACAGTCTATCCGGAAAATTGAATACTGGGAGCATAACCCCCCCGCTTGGCTTTGTCAGTCCTTCAGACCAGCCAGAATGACCTCTGAACTCATTTGCCCTTTTCAGCCCCTCTCAGCCTGAAGGGCTGTCAGTAACTGAGCCTGTGATAGCTAGGGCTGATGGGCGGTGGTCCCACAGTATATCCGAATATTCTAGCTTGCCTGTGTCATGAGTTAGTGCGCGGGCCCGCTGTGCTGACGGCCGAAGATTCTAGACTGCCTGTGTCATGAGTTAGTGGGCGGGCCCGCTGTGCTGACGGGTGGGCTGAACCCGCGGCACGTGAAGCCCCCTGCCAGACTTTCTCCCTGGGTCACATCCCCGACACCCCACAACCCTTTCAAAATAACAAAATCGACCCGCTGCAAGGGAAAGCATTCGACCATTTAGACAGAAAAAAGGAAGCTATGGCGTCTTCCATGGAGTCTGTCATTTTTCTCCGCTTGAACCACCAGTACCTTAAATTTTCCCCGCTTGAAAATTAAATACACGCTGGTATATTCGGGAGCAAGTGTGGTTCGGTACTACCAGACAGAAATGGCTGGTGGCCCCAGCCAAAATGAGGCCCACGGTGGTTCTTTTTGTTTTAGCGTGCAGATCCGCGTTACTACTGGACAGAAATGGCTGGTGGGCCCAGCCAAAATAAGAGGCCCGTGTCGGTGCTTTTTTTTTTAGCGCGCAGGGCGGTTTTAGGCTCGGCATCGATAGCTGAGAAAGATACTGGTGGTTTTTAACCCAGTCTACCATGATGTCTGTTCGAATAGCTTGTTTAAACTGTGAGAACAGAGCTCGAGGGCTGGATCTCTTTTGGAGGAAGATCCTATCCCGTCGAGACTGTCAAAAACAAATTAACCAGTCTGAGAATGCCCTAATTCTGAATATCTGAGGGCATATAATCACACGAGGACCTTTCCCACGAAGCTCTGGACGCGATTGCAGTCAGGTCCATCCTGGTCTCGCCATAATTGCAGTCAGATGCATTCTGAGAAGCGCTAGTGTGAGTACTCCCTGAGCTATCCAAGTACTAGACTGTTTATCCAAGGTGCGAGCGCTGAGCTCTGCTTGGAAAGACAAAATATTTCTGCCTGTGTCCACAGAACCTGGAGTCTGTCCCATACCCCCCTTGCAGTCTGCAAAGTCTTAGGGTACCTTAGTTGTCCTCTGACAGCCGTGCTGCCACACGTTCCGCACAAGATTCGTAGTGCGCACTTTCTGTGCCAGATACACGTCTAGATCCCCACAGCGCTGCCCGGGCTTCCCAGGCAGGCACTCAAAAAAAACTTGTTATTTTGTGTTTTCTTCGTTTTTCCTTTCAAAAAAAGCAAGTCCCCTCTCCCCCCCCCCACCTTTTTTTTCCCTTTTTTGTGCCAACGAGGCAGGAGCACCTTACTTTTCTGTGCCCGTTTCACAGATACAGAATGGCTGTGCATACAATGACCTGTGAATCACTGCATACTTGCGTACTGCGGGTGTTTCCTGAAGTTTGGGGGCTTTCTGCCCTCTTAGGGGTGGACCCGACAAGGAAAAGGCTGGCAAAAAGCACGCCAAGACGGAGAGTGTGGAAGCTTTTTTCCGAAAAAAAAACAGGACCCGACTGCACAGCCACTTTTCCAGCAATCTGGCCGCGTTTTTTCGAGGATTGGGACCACTTCAGAATGTGCCGTGTTGTCCGTCATCCTACTTTGAGCGGGGCAGGTGTGGACCTGTGGGGTGCAGGTCGTCCAGCCGGAGCCTCCAATGGGCCGTGCCTGGTGGGCATCATGTGGACCTGCGCGGTATTCCAACTTCGGAAAACACACGGGGATGCCCCCCCCCCCCCTTACCCCCTATGTTTGCCACAAATTTCCGGCTGATTTGCAGAATGTGAGCACTTTCCAGCCGGAATTGGACGTCGAAAGTCCTTTGTTGCTTTTCCGTGCGACTCTTTTTCGCCTGGTGGGGTCGGGGATCCCGGAAGAAAAACGACTTCCGGGCATTCTTGCACCGCCTGTGGGGTCCGAGAGAACATCCTGCGGGGTGTTTTTTCCGAGTTTTTTCCCGGTGGGGTCCACCTCTTATAGTGCAAGCCCGCGATGTGGTGGGCGTTTTGCCACTCTGTTCCTTTGTTTGAATTCCAGTTTTTTTCTTTTCTTTTTGGCTATAGCTGAGCCTAGTCTGTGCATCTGTTTTCACAGCCACGGACACAGGGTATGTGTGGAGGTGTGCTGGAATCTCAATGCTGTAGGACGATCCATCCTCTCCGCCCTTGACTTCTAGAACCGGCCACGGTCCTCTATATGCAGGCAGTAACTTYTGCGAGATGTTTTCTTCCGGTGCAAACTCTTTTGCTTTGACCCAGACTAAGTCRCCCACYTGAAACTGCGATGGGCRTCGGTGCTTGTTAGCCTGTTCTATCATTCTGTGCTGGGCCTTCCRAAGGTTCTCAACAACAGTGGCTAACTCCTTTTCGTGCTGTATCGCAAACTCCCTGGTACCGGGCGGTAATCTGTGAATCTGATCCCGGTTCAGTCCTTCGAACGGTCTGCGCGGTCTAAAGGACTTGTGCAACTCATTGGGAGTGCGACAGGTGGATAGATGCACGCTGTTGTTGTACGCACTAGCGACCTTGGGCAACATCTCATCCCAGTTGATCTGATCTGGTCTAATATACATGCGCAGAACTTGCTGTAGGATCTTGTTCATCTGTTCTGTCTGACCGTCAGTCTCTGGGTGACGGCCGGACTCTCATGAGTTCTTGCCAGTTCTGGCTGGTGAAACGACTATCTCTATCACTAACTATTGACAATGGGATTCCATTCTCACTAACCCAAAAGT